GCTAGCTAGCTAGCTACTACAGTCGTTGTGGCCATGCAGCTATCCAGTTGCTGCTCCCCGCAGAATCTGTGCAGCCGTCCCGCTGCTGCCCCAACACTCTGGGGCTGCAGCAGCAGCAGCAGCTGCTGCTGCTGCTGTTGCTGCTGCTGCTGCTGCTGCTGCTGTTGGTGCTGCTGCTTCTGTGGGTTAGTCTTCCTCTGGCTGAGGCTTGATTGGCTCTGCAGCAGCAGGAGGCCTTCGTTTGTTCTTTGCTGCTGCTGCTGCTGCTCGCTTTGCATGCGCTGGGCAGCGGCGACGCTTGGGGGCTAATGCCTCCCCCTCTTGCTGCTGCTGCAGCTGCTGCAGCAGCTGCAGCAGCTCTGGGTTTCCTTCAGCTCTCTGAGCTAGGAACACACGAGACAGCAGCAGCAGCAACAGAGATGCTGTTTGTGCTTCTTGTCTTTGCTGCAGCACGCCTTGTCGCTGCTGCAGAGACAGCTGAGGGGCAGTGTATTCGTCTCCCTGCTGCTGCTGCTGCTGCTGCTGCTGCTGGTGCTGCTGTGGCTCTTGCTGCTGCTGGTGTTGCTGCTGCAGCAGCTGGAGAAAGGCTGCATCATGCTGCAGCGCGAGGGCACTCATATCCTTCGACAGCTGCAGCAGCACCTGCTGCACTGCTGCTGCTTCTGCTGCTGCATGCATGCAGTACTGCCACGCAGCCCTCGCCAGCTGCTGCATGCGCGACGAAGTCAAATACCCCAGAGGGGGGCAGCTGGGTACGCTGCGGGGAGCAGCAGCTGTTGCTGCAGCACGATGCATGCGCTGCTCCACCTTCTTCCTCTTGCTGCTGCTGCTGCTGCTGCTGCTGCTGCTGCTGCTGCTGGAGGCAGTGCTGCGGCGGACAGTGGGGACGAGCAGCAGAAAGGCTCCTGAGGAGCAGCAGATGGAGTAGGGGGGCTTAGCTGCAGCAGCAAGCTGCAGCAGCTGCTGCTGCAGGCTGTCTGCGGGGGGGGGGTCAGCGGGGGGCCCAAAGGCGTGGGGGGCCCCCAGCTGCCGCAGCGCTCGGCTGTAGAGGCCCTCGCCCACACAAACCCCCAAACCCAGGTGTATACGCAGCTGCAGCACCTGCAGCAAACACAACACACGCATGCATCCTGCTGCTGCTGCTGTTGCTGCTGCTGCTGCTGCTGCTGCTGCGGCGGCGGCGGCGGTGGTTGCGGCGGTGGTAGCAATGCCACTGCAAACACAGTGCCGCAGCAGCTGCTGCTGCAACTGCTGCTGCAGCTGCTGCTGCAGCTGCTGCTGCAGCTGCTGCTGCAAGTGCTGCTGCATCTGCTGCTGCAGCTGCTGCTGCAACTGCTACTGCGGCTGCTGCTGCAAGTGCTGCTGCATCTGCTGCTGCAGCTGCTGCTGCAGTGGCCGCTGACGCAAGACATACACCCACCCAGGTGCAGAGACCCAGATACTGCAGCACGCAGACATTCCAAGACAAATGCAGCAGCAGCAGCAGCAGCAGCAGCAGCAACACAGATGCTGCCGCAGCAGCACTGCAGCAGCAGCACTGCAGCAGCAGCACTGCAGCAGCAGCATTTGTTTACCTGTTCAAGGTGGTGGCTGGAGATGTCTGATATATCCTGGGATGCCTCTCCTACAGTCCCCCCTTCCCTGTCGCTGCTGCTGCTGCTGCTGCTGTTGCTGCTGTTGCTGCTGCTGCTGCTGCTGCTGCAGATCCTCCACCGACGCTGCAGCAGCGACAAACTGCCGCAGCCTCGCCAGGCCGCCTGCAGCCGCCCGCTTGCGCGAGCCACCACCACATAAGCCCCGCAGCACCAAACCTGCTGCACAGGATCTGCTGCTGCTGCTGCTGCTGCTGCTGCTGCTGCTGCTGCTGCTGGTGCTGCTGCTGCTGCTGTTTGGGCTGCTGGCGATGCTGCTGCTGCTCCTCCCGATATCGCTCCACCTGGTGTACCTTCGCCTGCTGCGGCTCCGGCACCTGCTGCTGCTGCTGCTGCTGCTGCTGAGCCTGCTGCTGCTGCTGCTGTTGCTGCCCCTGCCATGTACAGGTGATGTATCTCTTCCTCTCGCATCCGCATGAAGGCTGAGTACACCGCATCTGAGACACCAGCAGCAGCAGCAGCAGCAGCAGCAGCAGCAGCAGAAGAGGTACCTCCAGCCTTGGGCTGGCTGCTGGAACTTGAGCGCGCTGCTGTTGCGCTGCTGCTGCGGGCAGGGTTGCTGCAACTGTTGCTGCTGCTGCTGCTGCTGCTGCTGCTGCTGCCGCAAAGAGGAGGAGACGCTGCATCGCTGGACGGCGAAATTTCCGAAGGCCCAGGAGGCGACTGCTGCTGCTGCTGCTGCTGCTGCTGCTGCTGCTGCTGAAGGGTCGTCAACAGCCCGTTGTGCTGCTGTTGCTGCAGCACGCTGACCAGCAGCAGTT